AGAATGAAAATAGGACCTTCCTGATCCCAGATCCTTTGTGTTGTACACTGGAATTTCCTTGTACTTTGGTTTGGTGGTAGGTGGTGGCAGATGGTGGAAACAGCTCTGTGAGGGAGCAGATAGCATCAACTGTTGACATGCCCAAGAACAATTTAAAACTATATGTCCCAAGTTCATCTTTGGCTACCATCTAAAACAATAAGATCAGAGAGATCCTTGTGTGCTTTAGGAAGGCAACTATTTTTTTTTTTTTAATGTCAATACAATCTACTGTAGGGAGGATTAGTGTCATTCTTCTATTTATTCAACTATTATTTTTGTACCATTGCTTCTTTTCAAGATTTTTTTAGAAATGCAGTGATAAACAAAGCAAACATAATTCCTGCTTTTGTGGACTTTATCTTAACCATGGGAAGCTACTGGAGCACTCTAACCATTGGAGTGTTACCATTCTATTGAAGTATTAGAAATGCTATGTAGGTTTTGATGTAAAATAGATGAAGTGTAGTCAGGGAGAAATATAGGCAGCTGTTGTATGGTCTGGGTAAGAGAAGATGTTGACCTGAGGTAAAGTATTAGGAACGGGTATAGAAAAATATAGACACCATATTCAGAAGTATGAGTTCTTTGTAACTAATTGCATGATAAGGAGAAGTAAAGTGACCATGTTTGCACAGGAAAACTCCAGTTGTTGCCTGTCAATGTTTATCGAGTATCCTCTTTCACTTTCAAAGAATCTGGAATCAAATGATAACTTATATGTTATTTCTAGAGATAAAGAGAGGAGGGAGGATTATTCGGGTTTGAACCACTGTGGATAATTGTTTTATTTACCGAAAGAAGAGGAACTAGAAAAATAGGTATGAAGAAAGTGTGAGTTCAGTTTTGGACATAGTGAATGTAAGGCAGCTGTCATACATTGAAGGGAAGACATCGTAATCAGATGACAACATGTGCCAGAAGTTCAAGTAGGAGCTGTTTGTTAAAGATGTATTGCTTTGAGATTGATCAGCATGGATGATAACTCAACTAATGAAAGTGTTTAAGATCATGAAGCTGGAAAGTGTGGCAAACAGTGCCAAGAATCTGAGGTCCGTGAGGATCTCAAAGAGGTACCTGCTTTTAAGGGCTGGGTAAACAAGGAGGAACTCAAAAAAGGTGATTTGTAAAGGAGAAGCCAGAGTTTTAAGAAAACTAGAAGACAACCCAGTGAAAAGTATTGCTAGGAGAATGGAATCGACAAGAATGACAAATGCTTTTTAAGAGGTCATGTAAAGTAAGAGGGGAAAAGTGCTAATTAAAATCTGTAAATCCTGTTCTTGGTAATATGGGGAACTACATAACTGATTGTATGAGGTTTAAGAAATGATTACAAAGTGAAATATGAGCAAGATTTCAGAACTTAGACTGATAAAGGAAGAGCAGATTAATTCTCCTTGAATACAAGGAGAATTCTCAGGATTTGAGTGATTATGTCTCTACAGATGCTATGTGATCACCTAACATGCTGTATTTAGAGGCTTTTATTTCTAATGTCCATAATGAAGCTTGAAGAATAATTTTGTTTTGATCCCAGCAATTACAATTAGAATAGAGTTTTTTTGGTTGTGGG